GTCAAACCAGAGCATTACCTGGTTTCAAACCTGGTTTCAGGTTTCAAACTCAAAGCATCAGCTCATAGTCACCCAAAAGTGATGAACAAATTGTAGTTTCAGGTTCTCTAAGAAATATTTTACTCAATACAGAGAGGTTACCATAAACATCTCTAGCATCTCATCTGTGCCTGGCAGATTGCACCCCAATCAGATAGATATTATTATTGTGTGTAAAATTACAGTTGTGTTTAAAAATCAGACTAGGTTCATAATAATCAACAGATTTTAGGTGACTCTGATGTTTCAGAGGTCTTTGCAAGACTTCTGCAGTTTCCCAAATTCAAAAATCGTGCAGTTTAAACTTGCTTTTCATGTCCTCAGAATCTTTTTTTTTTTTTTTTTTGGACTTAAGTCATTTGATATAACATGCTTTAAATTAGGGATTCAAAGCAATTTACAACTCATACCTAGGCAATTTTGTTTAAAGCACAGTGATTTTTCTTTTTCAAAAATGGAATAGCATGTATTAAAGTATTCACCAGTCACCAGTCTTTTCTTGAAATAATTCTTAATGAGTTAACACCAGGTATCTGGCTCTTTGGACTATTTTTAATACATTAAGTAAATATACACAGCGTTAGTATTTAGGCAGTTGCTTAAATGAATACCTGTATAAATCATTTTATTTCTGTGGCAGCTCAGTCTTGATTCTAGCTCCCAGTTAAGTTACACTTTTTTAATGTAGTAATGACACAGGTAAAAACTGCAATATCACATCTATTTGTTATTTATTTCTGAATTCTGGTAGGCAGAATTTTGCCTCAGTAAAATTATGCAAGTGAGCTCCAGCATAGCACAAAAATTGGAAAGCTGTGCTTTCTGGAACTGATGGACAACTAGCTTTGTATAGATAGATCTGAAACAGAGAAACAAGGACTTCAGGTTTTAATAAAGCTGCATGTCAGCATATGTCCTGGCATCCCTGAGACACAGAAATCCCAGAGCTGGGAGACTGTGTAGGGAGCTCTGCCAAACAAGGACATGACACCATTTTTCTAAGTGAAGGGACTAAAGAACTGTTTCGGGCAAACAGCGTGCCAAGATGTACAAGAATATTCAAAGAGTAGACCCTTTTCCAGCATGTTGAAGACAAATCCGTTTAGATGCTACATATCTTCATAATGAACATGGTATTTTGAGTATGGTAAACGTGAAGATAATCATTTCTAGACAATCAGAGATCACAGTTTTTTTGCCTTAAGTTTCATGAAATGTACATGTTAATCTAGCGCAGATCTCTGCTTTCCTATATGGAAATCCTTACAGTAAATTGATTTGAATTTTCAAAGCACAATGATTGTGAACAATCCAGATATTCTTCCATCTACAACCCTCATCATGTGTCTGCATCCAGAGCTAATCTCCCACTACATCACTGTATTTCTGTTCTGAGCATCCCAGAAACAGAGAAATCCCAGAGACTGCATATACAAACAGACCTTCACCTGCAGTATTGTTCTAGGTACTGTTCCTTCACTTTATACTCAGGCTCACTTCCATCATATTCTCTTTTAGTTCTTCTGTTTTCAGGGACTGACTTTATTATTTCTTTGCTTAAAGTCTGGACTACCAAGAGCATGAATAACCATCTTTTCTGATTCTATAGGCTTTTCCCCAGAAACTTTGCATGCTCAGGGGTCATAGACATAGACAACATAGCTCTGACTTGCAGGAAACAGGCCACTACAGGAGCAAGGCACAAGAGGAAAATTCAGGTTGCTTTTTTAGGATCTCACTCCACTCTGAAATTGGATTGCTTAGACAGTTGAGAAACCTGAGGGATCTAAAGCCCCTGCCTGCTGGTGTGGATGTGGATTATGAAGTTAAAGTATCCTGAATTTACCACTTGCAGAGCGCAGGTTACATAGAAGAACATTAATTCATGCACAGTCCTCAGTCACACATTGAGGTAACTTCCACTACCTTTGTATATTAAAAGCCTGACTAATTTGTAACTGATAATTTCCTGTAGTGTGTAGGTCAATGCACAGTGATGCAACAGTACTTCTTCTAAAGTCATTAAAGCACAAGTAAATTAAGTGTAACTGACATTTTAGCCAACTGATTTTGCATTTATTGTAAATGCAGTCAACTAGACTCACCTAAAAGTGTAGAAACTAAACACTGTAATAACTACATTTTTACTGCAATGATTGCACAGGCAAACCTGCTTATCAAATATAATAATGGCTTAGCAGAAGAGAGCTTTTACAAGCTCTCCAGCTTGTGCTGGAAAGCAAAAGACAGGAAAGAACAGGAATTATTCTTCAAAAAAAAAAAAAAAGGAAAATATTTCTGCTTAAAATAAGAGATTTTCTGTATCTTTAGAAATGAGAAATCAATTGCTAATTCCCTCACTAGTAACCAGAATATTTCCACATTACAATCCAAAATCTTAGTCAGGACAAATAGTTTAAATGCAGTATAGCATCACTCAAATTAAATTTGAACTAACTCTAAAGAAAGTCTAACATTCAGGTATCTTAAAATCCAAGAAAAAATGTTAATCTACTCTCCTTGCATTGCCTCCTATGGACATCCCACTGACTTGCTTGCTTTATATATAATCATCTGTATCAGTACAGATGTTCTTGATTTACTACTGATTTGCAAGACTAAAAAGCAATGGATAAATTAACAATATTCTTAACATCTTCAGTAATTAAGCACTGCAATCACTGCTGAAAGTATACCAGCCTCTTTTAGCTCATCTCCCAAATAAATGTTCCATTAGAAATGACATTTCTTGCTATTCTCTTTTAAGCAGTCTTTTTAATGGCTGCAAAATCTAACTGAAATAGAGAGGAGCTTTTTAAATCTTGAATTACCTGATCTGAATTGTTTGGGACCCAAGCTTCATCTGTTTGAATGCAATTTAAAAAAATGTACTAAAAATACAGTATGAATTGCACTGTTGTTTTAATGCACTAGGTGGCATAATGATATTCACATTACAGCAAATTAAATGCTTCATGACTACCCTGGCACTTAACTGGACAGCAGAAGAAGCCCTTTCTGTCAGGGAAGAGGTCCTATGATAACTGCTGCAATAACAAGAATGCTAATATTGTTAACTCTCTTTTTGGTTCTTTGCGAGAGTACTTTAATTTAAAACAAACAAAAAGAAAACACACACACACCAACCAACAGTATAATTTAAAGAAGGCAGTATCAAAAAGTGGTGTGGTGTCCAGATCAATCCTCTGACCTGATGCACTTTCCATTGATTGCCTGTAACTGAAAAACTGTTTGCCTCTAAATCGATGTACATGAAAGTGCGAGAAGAGGGTTCAGAGGCCAGCAAAAAAGTCCTCTTTACTATCTCCCAGTAATACCTCCAGAAGAAAGTTACAGCAAGTATTGCTTTCATTCAACTAACCTCCTTCTGTCAGCTATACAGATTGGCAAACCTGGCTGAAAAATATTTGCAAGATGACACGGCATTGCAATGGCCTGTGTAGTTCAACCTCTGCTAGCACATAGAAGAACATTAACCTCCTTGAAGGGAAAATTTCTTTGCTTCTTTTGCTATATTAAATATTCCCTCCTTCCCACCCCCCTACTCTCTTCCTCTTACTCCTCAAAAAGCAAACAAATAACACACCAATGTAATGAAACCACATAACATATGCATCACCAATCATAAATTTTGCTGAAGTAGTTACTAAAGTGATATCCAAATACTCCCATAAATCTTTGCCTGTTCTGTTATGTGAGTAGGATTACATTCCAACCAGTCACACTGCAGATGCAGATTTTGCCCAGATACTGATTTAAGAATTGAAGGTCCAGGTAAAAATGGGTGCAGTTGTAATAATTTCCATTAAAAATCCTTTAAAATCTAACCCAATTCCAATTTTGACAAAACTGAGCAACTTTGCTTTTGATCAACATTAAAGCAGATCAGAGACATATGAGCTTGAGATTTCCTGCTTTTTCTAGGACTCGTTTCCATCAGCTTTGATATGGGCCACACAAAGTGTATGGTGATACTGCCAGGAATTGGACCAGGTGCGCTTAATGAATCTTTTCCATCTCTAACTCTATTAATTCCACTATTATGATGGACATAATGAAAGATCCTTTGGGACGGATTCCGGTGTCAATCTGAACTAGCATTATGTCAAAAAAAATTTAAGTCATCTTCATTTACTGTAAGCTCAGAGACTTGCTTTTTGCTGATGTTCTGTCATGGTTTGCTCAATTCTGGGCAGTAAATTACAAAGTACGTCAGTGTAAAGTGGCAGTGAAATCATTTATCATTAACTTGAAGGGGTTATTATTCAACTGTGAAAGATGACTGTTTTATGAAATTCGAAGGATGAGATCATGATTTAGTGACCAGGAGAAGTGTTCATTTTCCCAAACACAACAGTATATAGCAAGAGAGGGGAACGAAGCCTGACCAGCTGATACAATTTTATCAGGATAACGTTTTGATATTATTCATCCCAGTTAAAATTGGCTTGTATGAGACTTGTTGCTGATTAACAGATGCACTTAGCTACTGGTTAGAACTGTTCCAGTTCCATTCTTTTTGTGCAATTACAACTCCAACAGCTCTCTCCAGTACCACAAGCAAGTGCCCTGTTTAAGTGTTCAGGAAAAGGATCTAAAAAGGTTCAAAGCTTCCTGTGTTTTAAGGTGTTTGTATATTTAAAATATTGGAGTTTCTAAACAAAGACTTCAGAAATTATTTCACTAACTTCTTGATGCAGCCACTAACATACTTACCCACTTATGAAAATTATCCTTGTTTAGAGAGACTTTTTTGCAAACAACTGAACAGGATAATGTAATTACTGCAACTAAATCTGTGAAGACAAAGTCTGTTCAGCACAAAAAGCACTGTACAGAGCATGGTACAAATGTCACCACTTCACCAAACTCAGGAAAAGATTAAAGACAAGACTCCTGCAAGTTACGAGGCGGGCAGGATAGAAGGTTGCAGCGCCTACCTTCTCCAGCTGGTGCATGCCTTCCTCTACACAGCAAACAGATGCCAACGTTCTCAGTGTCTGTGGGTAAAGGCACCGGAAACAATCCTGGCGGCAGATCTTAAAGAGAGCAACTACACCTCCTTCCTGCAAAATCAAGAGAGCAGCACTGAGTGCTTCCTTTGTACTAGATGTGGATTTTGAGGATGCAAGGACAAGGAACACTCCCTTAAATAATTAATTTCATTTAAGTATCATCACAATAAAGAAATGTTAAGCTCAAAACAGAATTCACGTTGATTAATGGTAACACACTAAATGATGAAAAAGTAATACAGCCTCAGTGGGAGGTGTGCTTAAGCTATTGACTTTTACCACTTAACAGACACAATTTAAACTAAACTTGACATTCATGTGAAAATTACAAGGAATTATCAATGGGCTGCAATTGGAGTGACAGGTCAAACAACCTGTTAGTTTAAAATAGATCTTTGTTAGCAAGAATCTCCCATTTATCTAGATTTCTGAGCTCCATAAGGTGTTTGCTTAATGCTAACATATGAAGGAGGAAAAAGTTTTATAACTGAGGAACAACAAAAAATAATGTGGAAATAGGCATCAGGTTCTATACAGATACAGTCTATAATATCTTTGTCACAGAATCACAGAATGGTTAAGGTTGAAAAGGACCTCTAGAGATCACCTACTCCAACTCCACTGCTCCAGCAGGGACACCTAGAGCACATGGAACAGGGTGGCATCCAGGCAGGTTTTGAAGATCTCCAGAGAAGGAGACTCCACAGCCTCTCTGGGCAGCTTGTTCCAGGGCTCTGTCACCCTCACAGTTAAAGAAGTTCTTCCTCATATGGAGATGGAACTTCCTGTATCTCAACTTGCATCCACTACCCCTTGTCCTGTCACTGGCCACCACGGAGAAGAGTTTAGCCCCATCCTCCCCACATTCACCCATCAGGTACTCGCACACGTTTATCAGATCCCCTCTCAATCTCCTCTTCTCCAGGCTAAACAGACCCAGCTCGCTTAGTCCTTCCTCATACGACAAATGCTCCAGTCCCTTAATCATCTTCATGGCTCTCCACTGGACCCTCTTTAGAAGCTCAGTGTCTACTGAGGAGCCCAGAACTGCACCCAATACTCCAGGTGTGGCCTCACCAGAGCTGAGTAGAGGGGCAGGAGTACCTCCCTCGACCTGCTGGCAATGCTCCTCCTGATGCAGCCAGGATCCCATTGGCCTTCTTGGCCACGAGGGCGTATTTCTGCTTCATGGTTAACTTGGTGTCAACTAGGACTCCCAAATCCCTCTCTACGGAACTGCTTTCCAGCAGGTCAACCCCTAATCTGTCCTGGTGCCTGGGGTTAATCCTCCCCAGGTGCAGGACCCTGTACTTGTCCTTGCTGAACCTCATGAGGTTCCTCTCTGCCCAACTCTCCATCCTGTCTAGATCCCTCTGAATGGCAGCACAGCCCTCGGGAGTGTCAGCCATTCCTCCCAGTTTGGTGTCATCTGCAAACTTGCCGAGGGTGCCCTCTGTGCCCTCACCAAGTCACTGATGAACAAGTTGAATAGCACTGGGCCCAGTACTGACTCCTGCAGGGCACCACTGGCCACAGGCCTCCAACCAGACTCAGCTTCATTTATCACCACCCTCTGGGCTCTGCCATCCAGCCAGGCACCCTCTCCATTCAGCAGCGGACTAACATTTTCCCTGGCCTTCCTCTTGCTGCTGATGTATTTACGGAAGCCCCTCCTGTTGTACCTGACATCTCTCGCTAACTCTAATTCCAAAGGGGCCTTGGCCTCCTCATTACATCCCTGCATTCTCTGACAGTGTTCCTATATTCTTCCCATGTGGCCTAGCCCTTCTTCCACATGCTGTACATACTCTTTTTTCTCATTAAGTTTACCCAACAGCTCCTTGCCCATCCACGCAGGTCTCCTGCCCGCCTTGCTCGACTTCTTTCTTAGAGGAATGCACCGATCCTGGACCTCCTTTCCTTCTAGGACCCTTGCCCAAGGGATTCCTCTAAGGAGCTCCCTGAAGAGGCCAAAGCTGGCTGTCTTGAAGTCCAGGGTTGCAATCCTACTTCTTGTCCATCTTCGTCCTCACAGGATCGTGAATTCCAGTATCTCGTGGTCATTGCAGCCAAGACTGCCCTAATCCTTCACATTTCCCACTGGACCATCTCTGTGTTCTCTGATACATACATATTTCTACAGATGTGGCAATTAATGGTAGAGATTTGAATATACACACATCCCACATAATGAAGAAGCATTTGAAATATTCCTGGTGAAAGATTAAAAAAAAAAATCACATTACAGTAGCCAATTGAAAATAATAGGAAACAAGGACCAAGAGATAACCAGGAGTACTCTTAGATGTAGATGTATGTCTTATTTCTATGAGGTTAATGGAAACAAGAGGTTTATATCTAAAAGTAAAATTTGGTTCTGGTATTGTTAAGAAGTGTAGAATTATTTTATATCTAGTACTGCTATATATAGCCTACTGCAGCAAGACATTTCTGAGCCTTTAAAATAAACGAAGATGGAACAACAGTTTTTTTCAGTCATAATTTTCTTCCACAAAAGGATATTAATATTTCACCCAATTAGTAATGAAGTAGCCAGCTTAGCACAGAGTTTTTCCCAAATTTCACCTAATTGCCCTTTTTTCCCCTCCAAATTCTCTTTTAAAGCCTCCATAATTCAACAGGATCAGAGACATTCTGCTTCTCTACTTGGATCGTCATAAGTACAAGTTTACAGATGACAGCACTAAATCTCAAGTGATGCTGGTAAATTTTCTGCAAGCTTTCTGTATGACAAATAGATGTCCTGCTTTTGCCTGATGGACGGGTAATAATTTATTATATATTTATTATGCATTTTTCAGGAGGAGATCCAAACCGTTTATTTTGCACCTTTGTGCCATTACCAAGCTGTAAAAGGTTGATAACAAGTAATGAATCTAGAAAGCTGCAGTGAAATATGCGATTGTGTTTGAAATATGGGAAAAATGGAAAATGGGCAACACAGAGCCCAACTTTGCAGCATGTCAAAAGCACTCGGTTGCCCTGAGTTTCACTGCAATTTCACAGTATTCCCCAGAACTTACTCATCTTTTCCCAAATTTGTCCCCTGCAGCTTTATCAGTGATGACAAAACTATTCTTTCTGACAGGAATCAACATAAGTTGATTACATGGGTGAACAGTGCCATTCAGACAAAGAAACCTAACAGTACTGGGCTTTGCCCGCTTTGGAAATTAAAGAATACCTTTCCAAACTCTTCTAGAACATGTAAGCATGCTATTGTTGATACCTTGTAGGTCTTTGGTCCAAAACTGAGAAGGCCAGATATCACATGCTTGCTGTAATTCAAGTTGCATCAAGGAGGGACTTCACATACTCTGTACAATCACAGATGATAAGAACTTACATGATGACCTATTTCTCTCCTTTTTTGAATTAATGTGAATTAAATATCCTGCAGACATCCCTAAGATGCTGCTCTGAAGGTTTAGCACCAGACAGCACAAACTATCCAAAAGATAATCACAAAAAGAGTGTGCAGAAGAAGAGTAATAATTCCTCTGCCACACTGCTCACTGATGCAAATAACTGAGGCAATACAGAAGGTGAAGGAGGATAGCAAGTCAGAACAAAAGTGCTTCAGTGCACACAGGTCCACTGATAGAATCACCACCATAATTGGGAATCAAACACCACTTTCGGCTCTTTTTGTAGGGGAATCCATTTCCTCGCTTAGAAATCTTCTAGAGGACCCTGTGACAGACCAATGTAGTATTAGCAATAAATCAAGAAGTTGATGTAAATTAAACTATTTTGGAACTCTCACAATGATAAAGAGCACAAGATCTTTGTTACTTTTGCATTTCCTTCATACTCAACATTTTAACACTGTTTTTGGATACCACTGAGTGGAGCTCAAATACCAATTTAGAAAAAATTAAACCTCTCAACATGCTGCCAAGATCCACTGCACATTTCTAAGTTGACCTCTTTCACAGCCTTGGGAACAGAGCAGTACTTTTTATGGTCAAACATCTATCCAAATCCAAATCATAAATAAATTAGTTAGGTGGTGCTACTTAACCTTGTCTTTGACTAGAACACAGGACTGGAGCATCACTCCACAAGCAGAAGCTTAAAAACATGGTTTCTGGGCAAGTACAAGAGATGACTTTGCAGGGATTTTTATTATCAGAAATAAAGTTGTTTCTTTGAAAGAATAAGGATACGTTATTCACCTGAGGTTGCATCTGCAGTTGCTGTTTTTTTTTTTTTTTTAATGAAAACATGGGGGTCATCATATGACTACATTATTTACCCTTATGAACTCCAAAACATAGTTCTCGCTTTTTTCTTATATGTTGTTCATTCTAACAATCCCTATAAAGGGAAAATGATGGTTGCAAGGTATCTCTAATGTTACATCTTTAATATCAAATTGTACATTAATAATATCAACCTGTATACAAAGCTCAAGATGTATTTTTTCTCCCTTTTTGAAGTGGTTCATAATTAAGTACTGTCAGGAAAGATGCTAAAAGAAACACCAGTGGAGCTGAGGAGAATAGGAAAGCATCAGGATTTGAGGGAATGTTCAGAAGCCTTTGGAAGCTATCATGTCCCTGCCGAACCCCTGAGCTTTACTTAAATTAAAGATTTGGTGTTTTAGGCTTTCTCTCCTCCCCTCTTCTAATGAGATGACTGTAGCAACAAACTTCCCATTTCCTTTTTATGTAGAGGATCAGGTAGTGTATTATGAAAACACTTCTACGTTTTACCTAGCTAGAGCTGCAAGACAGTTCTTACATACATGCTTGCAGACATGAGCTTCTGCTTCTGCAGACAAGCAGATTTTCCAGTTCCAGGAGATGCTGTAGTTGTCTCTTGGGAGTTTTGCAAACAGGAAGGCCTGCCAGTGGCCACTCTGGAGCATTATACTGCATCTCAAAATTTCTTTTCACTGTTAGCCTGAAGAAAGGCATTCCTCTGAAATACTTCTACTTCCTGGCAGGCTGAAAAAACGCCAAAAATCAAATGACAGGAACTGTATCTCTCCATCTCTTCTTAGTCAAATAATTCATGCAAATTTTTGTAAAAATACTATGCACTCAATTCCCACATGCTTTCAGGAAACTAGATCACTCATGCTTTCAGAAAACTGGATTTTCTTGGCATGTTTAAATATAAAATTGTTTGTTATGTTTCTTTTTAAGCGAATGTTTACCTTTCATTCATATAACTCAAATGGAATTATAAGTAACTGATAAAACTGAGAGTACTAAAGACTGATGAAAGTGAGAGCTGTTCACTACATTTTTAAAAACAATGCAACAAGGCCTAACTTCTGTTCAGTATATAAATCATTTTCACCAATTGTGGATGCAAAATGGCAATTATCTGACTGCACCTATTCAGAACTATTTGGCCTCGAGGGTCAGAGACTTAGCGCTATGGAAATCCTCAGCTGCTTCTGTAGTGCAGCTTTCAGAGATTGTCCTGGGTTTTGTGGTTTCAATGTCTCTGCCTTCATAAAAATATTTTTATTCCGTTTTGTATGAAATTGGTATTTTTGCTCTCAATTAGGTTCTACCTAGATAGTACCTGGCTGATTTCTGAATACTATCAGAATTGTACTTTTAGGTAGAGGTGCTCCTGTGTATGTTGATTAGCTCCTTTTATATTACGAACGTGTCTAGCATTGAAATCAAGCATTTTAAGGACCTTAATTGTACAAAGATATAATATTATAAAGTTAAAAGGGAAAATCAAATGCAGCAAAGCTAAGAAACAAAACTGGAACGGGGAAGGAATGAAAGGAGAACAGGGAAGGAATATGAGAGGAAAACACTGTTCAAATGTTGAAATTATTAGCACCCATTGTGCCAGAAATATTCTTATTTGTATCAGTGGATTTTGAATCATGCTTCAAAATTACTTATGTTCATCATCTGCCAGATCATTCAGATTGTATATTGGTCTTGAAAAGATAAAGAGAACATCAGTTAATATCATGTTCAGGGTACAACATGAACACACACAGTATATTTTTTTCAGGTTTGGCAGTAATAAAGTCTTTTTACTTCTTTCAATAGTAAAGTTTGAGTGTTTGAGTTATACTGAAATCAGTCAAATTCTGAACTATTAACCAGTTAACCATAAATTTTTAAAAATGTTTCTTAATCTCTTTTGCCACTATTTTAATCTCTTTTTTAAATGCCCTCTCAAGAGAATTAACAATAAGTTAATTCCTTTCCTGCTGTAATCATTAAGTAATGATTTCTCTTGATGTTTCTCTCGGGTTTAAATAGTATCCTAATGGGTATATTTTCGATACATCTTCAATTTTAAAAACGCTGAAGTCTTTTTCATTGGCAGCAAGTATTTCCAAAAACTGCTAAAATGACTGATCAATTTAAATAATTTATCTATTGCCCTTTTCAGTGAAAAATGGTTAAAAATAAATAAATAAATAAAGGAAATGAACAACATTCCAGAAATTCAGTCAATATGTCATAAAGAATTAAGTGTATTTTTGTATTCTGTGTATTTTTCAAACTCATCAGAAAAAATAAAGCAGATGTTATTCTCAAGCTGTAAACATACTATAAAATGTAGCTGTATGGGAATATGAAAGTCACAGTTCTGCTAGTTCTACCCAGCTGTCATGCCCCCATAACAGTGTAATGACATAAAATAAATATTCCTTGGGCAAATCTGCTGGCCTTGGGGTCTGCTCAGCAGTCTGGAATGTTTTACTTCATGACGAAACCATAATTATATAGCTCCTCTGGTGACGGCAGCAACAAAATACTGATATTTATTTTAGTCTGAACAACACTTTGAACTTTTGAGGCATATCATAATGTTATCTCAGCATTTTGACCAGTTTGGCCCACAGAAAAATAAAACTAATAAAGACAGGCAGGTTATACTTACTCCTTTAACTCTTGCTGAAAATTTTGAGAGAATCAGCAGAAGTCCGCCAAAGATAAATACCCTTGACTAATGATGCCACCCTGTGCCATGTGCTCTGGATGCCCCTGCTGCAGCAGGGGGGTTGGACTAGATGATCTCTAGAGGTCCCTTCCAACCTCAACCATTCTGTGATTCTGTGATGTATTTTAGGACTAAACTCAGAGCTGTGCTGCAAACCAAGAAACTGCAACCAAATCTTTTGCTTCACATGTCTTGATGTCGGAATAACCCCCCACTTCCCTTTCATAAGTGCAAAATAACTGCTTGAACAAGGAACTGAGATGTTAATAGAAGGAATTTGTGTTTTAAAGCATACAGCCACTAAGAATTTGGCTCATTGCTTTTCCAGTCCAATGTACAATCCGCAGCAAAGAAGTTTTAAGTTCTGATTCAACAGATTTATTTTGGGAAAATGGTGTTGTATATGCCAGTAGACTTCAAAAACTGACATCTGAAAATGTTAATCAGGAATGAAGTTTTATTTTAAGCTTAGCAATTGATCATGTTTGAAAGACTTAAGACAGCTATATATCACAAGGACTTAAAAGCTTCCTGTTCCTCTGCTTGCCCATGCAACTTTACTTTAAATCTCTTATCTACAGGCTATTGAATTAGCAATACTACATGAGCCAGCTAAACCTGTGCGGAGATTCTTACCATTTTACTTATATTCTGGCAACTGAAAAAATAATTCCACAATTGCGCAAGTGCAAGAAGAAGCAATTCATCTCTAGTAAGCAGGAATTTTGGAGAGTGCAGGAGGGGCAGAGGTGGGGAAAATAAAACAACAGCCTTCAAATGTCTAAGGTCATGAGTAAGACAGAGTCAGACCCTTTACAACAACAGCCAACAAAAGGGCAAGAAAAAAAAAATTAAACAGAGGTTCTACCTGGAATTGGGACTGTATGGGAAGGAGTGGGAAGAGCAGTCAAAATCAGCATCAGGTCCAAGACACTGGACCTGATGACTCCTGAGGTCCGTTCAAATCTAAATTATTCTATGAAATAACATCACGAAGAATCGTTAACTGAAAGGAGGTCTATTGTCTGCTGTTTATCTCCTCACTGTTGCATACTTGTTTTATTTTTAAAACCAGAAAAGCAAGAGTAGTTTCTCAGAGTAAACTGTTTGAACTCCTCCACCTCCTACAATACAAAATTCCATCTAATTACTGTATGTTTGAAAGCTCACAACCAGTACTAAGTAAAATGATTAATTCACTACCACCATGAGTTTTACTTTGAATTAATGCATATACATCCTTACCTTAGCTATGATGCGGCACAGATGAGCACCTTCCTGGGTAAGGCTGAATAAACTACTAAGAGCCGACTCAGTGATGTACACATTGTCTGACAATTCTATTTGTCTCAGCAGATTCTATGTGAAATAAGATAATACAAACAAGTTATTTCCAGTGGAGAAAAAAAATCATATTGTATTTAAACTTGAGATGGAGGACAAAATCTAGTTCATCAATGTCATGTTCTTCTCACCCAAAGAAAAGGGGAAAACACATAATATAGGAAGGAGTCTGACTCTGACAAGACTTTATCATATTTACTTATATTTGAATAATGTACCTAAAAGTGATCTTCACGAATTCTTTCAAACTCATACCTGTTTTCCTATTCCATTCATATTTTAGAGAGCTCTGCAGCTATTTTGTAAGTTCTTATTTGTTTTGACCTAGAATTAAACTAAAATTTTCAGAAATTCTCAGGGTAGAATTTGTGTAACACAAGGCGATATAAAATTTCCACCTTGGTACTGCTCTAATTTAAAACTACTTTCTAAGGCTCCATATCCATATCCATCACTGTTTTCAAACTACATAGGAAAAAAAAACCTCTCATTAACCAGTGCAGACAACCCTCGGTTTAAGGAGAAAATACATTTCATATATTGGAGAATTAAACTAAATACACTATCTTCCTAAAGAGTTTACATACTTTTTGCATACAAATCATTGCAGCTGCACAGATTAACAGAGCATTAGAAGAATATGAAGTTTGTTGAATTTTACTCTCTGCAAGTGCATATAATCATTGCAGGAAGAACGAATTACACTACAGAAGGAAAAGAGCGAACATTTTCATTTTCAGTGCAACTTTGAAAGAAGTGCAAAGAAACAGCTCACACTTTACACTCTAATTGATACAGAATTCTGTTAGTATCCCTTAAAAAGGCTTTGTTCTCCTTTCTCCCACTTTTAGTATTTCTGCTTAGAAAAGTGTTCTGAAAAATGAGATAATTTATTGGTTTATACATTGAAATTAATCCTCTCCTAAATAAAAACTTGATAAACTACTTGGAAAAAAACTCTAGGGTAAAAAAAATAAGCTATGAGTTCTGGCCTCTGGCAGAAAGCTTCAGACTAGCAGACTACCCGCTGACAGTATGGTTTTATGTCAGAAGTCAGTTACACATGACTGAAAAGCTCTGAAAACTGCTCCTAAAATCGTTTCTATTAACGACTTCTCTTATAAGTCTTCAGCTGTTTAAATGCAGTATGGTGTAAAGTAATTAATTCTACTTCCTTAAAAGAGCAGAATTTAATACACATCATTAAGTGTCAAAGTGTCCAACACATAACTACTGGCAATGAAGAACTATTCCAGAATAATCAGATTAAAAAGATGAGGCATCAAAACAATTACAACCTACTCACCAAATTTGCCGTATAGAACCCTTTGGTGATGTGCAATTATTTACGTACTTGGACTTATACATAGCATTTCATGTAGTTCTCATAAATCCTAGCCAAAATCCATTAGCAAGAAGCTTGTTAGTTTGACCGTAGGTCTGAGAATATATTCTGGGGATTCTTATTTCCCAGCCGTAATCTCTTAAAACTATGAAGGATGATGATGAGAGAGACACACAACAGGGTTTGCTACCTTAAAGCACCAAGGTATATTATAATTTAAGCAATATCATGCAGTAATTTTGTTTTACAATGCAGTAAATTTCTTTTTCTTTAGCTCAATTTCCCACCCCCCCCACACACAGGTACAGCATAAAATTTCAGCATGACAGCTGTTCTGAAAGTACAAAGGAATTGAGCATAACTGCATTTGGTGGGGCTTTTTTGTTTTTTGTTTTTTTTTTTTGAGGAAGATCAAAGGGTAGAAAGGGATTAAGAGATTACTAATGGAATGTAAAGAAAGAAATCAATTTTAGTCAAGACAGGTTGGTTAGTTAGAAGTTGCTATGATCTCAAGAATGCTTTAACTTAAAAAAAAATCTGCAGTCTTAATCTAACTACTCAATGTATTTTCCTACTTTTTAATCAGCACTGGAATTTGCATATCATGTCTGTAAAGATGCATCATTAATTCTGAAGAAATATACATATATGAAAGACTTCGATAGCTTAGATTCTCACACCTTCAGGTGGTTATTTTCTTGTTTGCCATATAAGAAGTTATATTCTCTTCTGATGCAGAAAGAATGCTGATAGTTGCAAATACTTCGCACATAATGTGACATTTTATCACTACTTCTTAGAAACTATAATATACAGTGCTTAAAAAAGCAAGTGCCATGTAATAATATACTTTATTCATAACACATTATAAAAGTTTAGTTTTTAATGAGAATCACTGAGAGCAGGATGGACTTTTTTTTAAGGTTTGTAAAGAAAGGCATTGACTAACTAAGGGGACAGTAAATGGGTTCAGAGTGTTAATAAGACACTGGGCAGAGATGAGCTTGTATTCTGGAAAAAACAGATAAATGCATATGGAATAACAGTAAGGCCACAGTAAAAAATAAAATACTTTTTTTTTTTTTAATTCTTTCTTTCTTTTCTTAAAAGCAAACAAACAGAAAAAAAAAACACTGACCTGTGCTTCATTTGTTAAAATCAGCTCTATCAACTGGCCAAAATACTGAGCAACAGTAGTGAGTGTTTCATTAATACAAGACTTCATGGATCTCAGTATCTGCTCATCCTCAGTTTGTATGCATCTGAAAAGCAGAAAGAGGAAAGTTGGAAAAGATGAAGGAAAAGCAATAGGCAACAATTGTTTTATCAAGTTAACTGTCACACACTCGAGCTTTTCAGCCCTCTATGCAAAAAGATTATACAGAGCAGCTTTACAGAGTTAATATAATTCTGTAATCAGTGACACTCAGCCATAGCTGAATATGCAAAAATACAAGATAAAGATAGAAAAGATATACAATTCAAATAAAATAACTAATATTTCCTCTCAGAAATGCATTCACATCAATGGAAGATATGCTTGGTTGGCTTGAGCAGCGTCTCAGTTTACACAGTAGTTCGCTTTATCAGTTGTATCCATTTCTTATCCATGACCTGTATCAACTTATTGACCAACACTCAAGGAGCGCAAGGAATGATCTGGGGCAGACACTGAACAGAGCTCTCATTAAAGTCAGTATGTCCTAAGGGAGCATACACGAGTTTCTAAGCTATGTGGGTTTGCCACAAACAAACAAACAAACAAACAAACAAACAACAACAACAACAAAAAACACAGCAGCATTCAGGAAATCTTATTTCCTGATAATTAGCTGGTGTCTTTTTCCCGGTGATGTCCAGAGCATAATGACCTGCACAGTATTTAAAGAAATCACAAAGAGACTGTTGACTGAACTATGCTACAGAATAACTTCTCTCAGTCAGTGGAAAACATCATAAGAACTAAAGGAAAATCTTATTTTTTGGTCTCTTATGCAAACAGCATTCTAAAGCATGTAGAGCTGAGTAAACCTACAATTTAAAACAATATATATTTATTCATGTTTGAGTTACTAATATGTGGATATGCACAAGAGGGACGCGGAACCATTGGAGAGTCCAACGCAGGGCTAGGAGGATGATCAGAGGCCTGGAACACCTGCCCTATGAGGAGAGGCTGAGGGAGCTGGGCCTGTTCAGCCTGGAGAAGAGAAGGCTGAGAGGGGATCTCATCAGTGTCTATAAGTACCTCAAGGGAGGCAGTGAGGAGGATGCGGCCGGCCTCTTCTCACTGGTGGCCAGTGTCAGGACAAGAGGAAATGGTGAAAAACCAAAGCACTAAAAGTTCCACAGGAACTTAAGGAAAAATTTCTTGACAGTGAGGGTAACAGAGCACTGGAAGGGGTTGCCAAGAGAGGCTGTGGAGTCTCCTTCTCTGGCGATCTTCAAAACTCGCCTGGATGTCACCCTGTGCCACTTGCTCTAAGTGACCATGCGTGGTAATGGGGGGTTGGACTAGATGACCTCCAGAGGTCCCTTCCAATCTTAACAATTCTGTGATTCTATGATTCTGTATACATGCATGAACACATTGCACCCCAAATCGTCAACGTAAGTTTTCACACACAGACTGAAATCTCATCTCTCGAAAACTCAATGGGAGTTTCACCGATTATATCATTAGAGACAGACTTTCTCACTTGATGTCCAAAAAGCCCTGAAAAATCTACTTGGACACAGCTTTGTGTCTACGCGAGGGTCTTTGGGCAACAACAGCTTCCCATCTTTCATTAGGATGTACTTTAGATAAAAGCAAGTCACAATGCCCACAACAGGGGCTAAACATTTAGGAAGCTTTTCAGAGCTACAGGGGCTCAGTTCAAACATTTGAGAGTGTCAGTGGCTTTGCACTTCTCATTACAAATTCTGCAATATAAAACAGCAAAACAAATATTTGAGACAGAAAATTTGATTTACCTTTCTGTGAACGCTGTAAACTCTGAACATTTGTCTAGTAAGAGTTTTTCAAACTGCAGAGAGAGAGAGAGAGAAAGAGACTTTAAAGTAACATGCCATATACATGATTGCTCATAAAAATAAATAATGGTTGTTTATTATAGCTAGGTAAAAACCCTTCCGAAACTTAATATTTTGTACAAATGACCTTTTCCCACTTTTTAAGCAATGCGTACAAGTAAAACTGAAGATAAAGAAAGTGAAACTTTTAAAATCTTAATAAAAAAAGAGAACTTACAGATGGCGGGGTCTAATCGTTTCAGTTCAGCAGTCCTTAAAAACTAATTTTTTCAACATAATTTGTCACCATTTTCAACATTCAGAACCATATAATAAAAAAGACAAAATGTTTCAACAACAAAAAAAGGTTCTAGAAAAACTAAGCACCAGCAATGGGATCCAAATATTTATTACAAATTACTTAAAATAAATAGTAATTATTACAATAAAAATAAGGTATCTGGAAAGGTACTCCTACCTTGTGCATTTCTTCTGAAGAATTCCTGGTGAACATATTGTGTTCATTTATCATTGAACGTACATGGCAGTTGACGCGCACTGTCATGCTGTGGACTCTTTGCCATCTGTTCTTCTCCAGTTTTTGAGCAATCCTGGTAAACTCTGTGCTTACAATCCAGGCTCTTTTTAATAGCAACTGCAAGTTATCACATGTACTATGTTGTGAGGAAAGCATAAGTTCATTTTCTTCATCCTTCTCAATGCTGATTGGTTTGGACTGGAGAATACACATACATTCACAATCCGTCATCAACTTCAGATCTTCCATCCATCGCTGAACAGAGTCCACCTGAATTAAGTGCATGCTAGAAGACAGAAAAAGAGGAAAGAATAAGGTGAAATCTTAAGTAATTTAGATTAGCCGTCAGAAATACCCTATTTAAGCTACATCCACCTACTAGGTGGCAACTGATTGAACAAATAACATACTGTAGTAATGCAGCAACATGTTTCCTATTCCAAAGGTGGATTTTTTTTTAATATACTTACACCATATCACATGTTATGAAATTATCTGTGTAAAATCTGAAGAGACAATAGCTAGGTAAACTGGAACAGTTCAGACAAGGTTCTGGCAGAACTGGCCCTATAGTTCCCTGTAAATTCAGTGTTTAATATGACAGGGCAGTAGTGCTTGCTTGTTCTCTGTGGGAATGCAGTCTCAGCTTCTCCTAAGCATTATTTGCTAGTTAGTCACTAAACAGAAAAATTTTTTACTTTGCAGCAACCTTACATCCATACTGACAGACAAACCATGGCTAATGATAGTCTGAAACATCACTTTCTCCTGCATCATAACACCATAACTTCAGATGTGTTATCTTCCTGATAAAGTTCTTTATCTTTCCTGTTCTTTCATACCACACTCTGTATGATTTTGACAAATCATTTGCAAAACACGTTTTCTGCACTACTGCAAAGGTTCTGTGATCTGGTCAAGCCAACATAACTTGTTCATGAAATATGCCCCAATACAAAGCCAGCAGGTAATAAGCCTGCATTTCACACCCTTTGGCAGTGATACAGCTAATAAATAAAACAAGACAGCAGTTGCACATCTCTGGGCTGTTCTGAGCTTGCTTTCATGAGGGAAAAGATGAATTAGCACTGGAAGAATCCAAATAAATGAACATGGAAGACAATTAAGAAATTCAATGAAAGGAAGCACAGCCGTGTTTAGTTATGACTTTATTCAAACCTCCGTCAGCATCATACAGCTACTCTGACAGTGGAGTTGACTGCAGGTGACCTGGCTATGTGGTACAGCAGTTTGTATTCATTTTTTCCAAGATGCTATCTGTAACAGAAAGTTTGTATTACATTCCCTTTCCTTCTACATCAGATATTGACTTATTGCATTCTGCACCACAGTAATAATGCTCTGTACTGTCCTATAAAACCTTCGGCAAAAACAGATTCTGCAATTGCATTAGCCAAGCTAAAGATGATTGGCAGATGGCCTTGTTAATTCCTGTGCTTCCATATATACTAAGAACCAGCTGAATTCAAGGAATTCTCTCCTAAAATTCATAAACAAACAAAAATTATTTCATACATACAAAGAGTAAATTCACCTCAAAAGTCTTTTAATATAATCCAGTACTGTTTAAGATACAAGAAACTGCTTTCATTGATCCAATTCCTTTTTTCACCACGCTGGATGAACCTACATTTAATTTTAAACTTTACAGGCTATTGTTATTTAAGGTCCTTATTGCACTCAGCTTTGAATACTGTGTAATTGCATTTCATGAACAACTGGGGCTATTTTGGCTATATGTAATCTCCTTACAGCTTTTTTTTGATCTGAAACAAGTTTCCCTAGCAGACAAAAACAACAACTTTAGACGTCTGAGACCATGATTTATAACGACATGCACAATTTGCATGTTTTACAGGATAAACTCATTTGACATAGAATAATGTATTTTTCCTTTCTAATGTGCTCTGTGATAACTGACCAAATTAAGAAGGTACAAATAAACATCCTAACATTACACACCTGCATGGAAAAACCCTAGAATTAAAGCTTAGTCACATAAAACGAAGAACTGCTGATGTTGCTTTCAATCCCAAAAAGCTGGCTTTCACTCAGGTGAGGAAAAAAAAAAAAAAAAAAAACACAAAACTTGCCCCCCCCCCCCCCCCCACCACAAAAAAAAAAAAAAAAAAAAAGAGAGATTTTCAAGAAATTCTCCTTGTTAGCCTGTGTTCCCAGTAGTCACTGACATAAGCCCAACTGTCCAATCTGGAATGTTCTGTTGTTTCACATAACTCACAACTATTGGTAACTCCCAACAGCGTCAGAAATAATATAATTCTCCCTCTTTCAGAAGAAAAGAGTTGCAGAAAACTCTCCCATTCACCATGTCAGTGTTTCTGTGACATTGCTCTTTCTGGGGGAAAAAGTAATATTAGTCAAGAAAAATACATAAATGATTTTCCTGCATCTCCATTTCCCTCTACTTGGAAAGAAAAATCTTCCTGAACATTTGGCAGATAAATCTGCAGACTAAGTTTTTATATATTAAACCAAGTAAAGTAAAAAAAGAGAACATTTGTAACTAGCTTTTAAAAATCATACTCCAGACAGCATTTACTGAACTCTGAAAACAAGCTGAAAATTTCCATCTTACCTCCCATTACTGAAAAGATACTACAGATATAAAATAAAAACAACCATAATGGGTCAAACCGAAAATCTGTCTAGCCCATTATCCTGCTCCCAACATGGCCATTAGCAGATGCATAAGGGAAGATTATAAGAGACATGGCAAGAGCTGAGCAACCCCTCCTTTCCATCTTCTAGCAATTAGCGCTTTAGGGAGTTCCTAAGCCAGAAGTTGTGTCTGAGCAGGATGTTTACACAATTCATGGAACAAAAGTAGCCATTAATCCCTTTTTGAACTCACTGGGGCTTCTGGCCTTCAAAACAACTAGTGGTATTGTCTCACATTGTTTATGTTTTGTATGAAAAAGTATTTATTTTGTTTGCTTTAAACCTGCTGGTGGAATGTATTAACATTAGTAAGATAAGGCATACTGAAATGTTAGTTACATGTTCCTTTTGAGTAATTATTTTATTTCCTTTGTCATATCCTCTCACTTATCTCTTTTCCAAGTTACCAAAACTCAATCAATTAGTCTGTCCTCATGCAGCAGTGATTTCACACCTCTGATCATACCTGTGCCCTTCTTTTAACCTTCTCTAGTTCTCTTGAGTCTTTCCAAGATGAGAAGGTAAGAACAGTACACAATATCCAAGATTCAGGCATGTTATGGATTTATATAACTCCATTATTTTCACTGCTGTCCCTATTTTTAAAAGGATTTCCCAAATTACATTCCCTTTACTTGTTTTTCAAATATCAAATAATGTGTGTGATAATTTATAATTTAGAATCCATAGTTCTATATATATGATTAGAGAGACTCTTGCTTTCAGCTCCCATCTCCTCCTCCCATGTACTACTCTGCATTCATTGACATTCAGTTTCATCCAATATTTTATCTTTAAGAGAATCTATTTGAGAGACATTTCAGTGACTTTTTGTGGCTGTTTTATTTTGAATTATTCTGAGTAATTTTGTATCAGCTGTGTGATTTGTTATCCTGCTATTGCAACTGTTTTCAAGGAATTTAGCAACTATATTGAGCAACACAATACTACCACATGGGGCTTTACCGTGTGATTTGGCTTAGTGCTAATGGAGTAACAGTTGTGGGGCAGTTGGTCAGGTATATGCATAATAATTCCTCACCAGTCAGAATTTCTGAATTTAGTATTTCAGGGTATACTGACAAAAGAAAAGCAATTTATCTAGACTTTGCACTATAAAAGTAGCATTTCATGTAAAAACTGCAGTAAAAATAATTCAGCGCAAAATAAAAATTCTGTCTGGTTGGTGTGCCAAAAGCAGAGTCTTCTCTAAATTGCTGCATATTGACAAAGTCATTTGGTATCACTGGCTGAAGCCAAGAGCACATTAAAAGCATATAGCCTCAACAGATGCACGAGATCCTGTTCCATACAGACATTCCTACACTACGTGACACATTGCAGGCAGACTTCATCCTCTAAAAGTGGACCCAAGGATCACTAGATCTGTCTCAAAACTTTTCCAGCTCGGAGCTCTCTACCTCAGTTTAACTGGCAGCTCATACAAATAAACGTTAACAATGAAAAAGAGTTATGCCTCCATTGCAACACTATATTTCACTAAGTGCAAAAATCTCATGTTTTGTAACACCATGTGGAAATCTGAACTGATCCATCCATATGAATAATTCCAGTGGCCATTATATTTAAAAAGTGTTCTCCTTTATAAAGAGTTCAGCTCAGCAGAATTATGGTTGAAATGGTTTTATCCATTTGCACCCATTATGACAGATTTATTACAATACTTAAAGATAACATTTAGTAGAACTTCCAGATAAGCCTGGGGTTAAAAGTCAATGTCAGGTCTCAGAACGACACTCAAATTTATTATTCTAATCAGCAGCAGGTAATTAACTGGCAACAAACAACTTCTTGAATGGATTTAGCCCTTTTTTTGTACATAAGTCACCTGCAATATCTTCTTAACTCATCTGTTCAAGATTATTTACAGGCACCTGATATACCCTGGATCAGTTTCTACATCAATAAAATGGACAGCAGAATTCAATTTTCAGCGGAAAGATTCAGTGACAAGGCTTAGAGAGGACTCCTATTTATCCTGAAGTTGCTTTAGGTGGTATTAATTGCACAAAAGACCATGATACTGTATTTCCATTGACTCTGGCAAAACTCTACATAGCTAGAGAAACAGAATAGTAGGAGGGTAACTGAGAATCAGGTCCCTGATTTAAGCAAACACAGTGGCTTTACAGGTTACCCACAAAGCAATTAAGAGGTCTATGAATATTGTTGTTTGTAATTGGTGTGGCAAGTGGAAAAAACAATGTATGACTAGCACACTATTCTTTGATTTCCTCATTTTCCAATACAACTTCAACAACCCAACTTCACTCAGACAAAAAATGAATTTAGTAAGCACTATATAAACCGTAAGAAAATACTGATAAAAACAAGGTAACTGCTTGTTTTCAGGGAAGTTACAAGGCAATTTTAAATGGTATTTTTACTTGCTCAATGATTACTTACTCCTTACAGTCAACCCATTTCCCTGAATGAAGCCTATAAAACAAAATGAAGGCTAAAGCCACTGAACATTTCTCAAGACAACAAAACTTAATGATAGGTATTGGAATGCTGCAATCAGTCAAGTGTTCTCATGAGGTGTATTCTAAAAGACTTCGATAG